ATCTTTTACTGGAGTGCTGATGCTGTTGCAACAACAGACAAGCTCTTGTGCATAGCAAGCATTCCTGCGTTAGTTGCTTTGAGAAGATGATTCGACATTAAGTGCTTTTAAACACCTCTCAAAGCAGGGGATCACTTCTGAATTGTATTTAAAAACAGTCTTCAAGCGCTGCTGATGACCAGTTGTCTTCTTGCAGATCTCGTTACGGAGTTATACCCACGGAAGCCTTACGTTGTGGAGCAAAAAGTTCTAGCTGTCCTTTGGCACCTCCTGGGAAATATGACGAACAGCGGCTCTTTGCCTGGAGCCGGAGGAAACATCCGGACAGCCACAGCGAAATTATCGAAAGCACTTTTTGCACAGATGGGTCAAAGCCTGTTAACTCACGCCGCCTCTCAGCCACCGCACATCAAGAAGAGCTTAGAAGAATTTCTGGAGATAGCAACTTAAAATAACCGTCTCTGCGCGTGCGTGGAACTGAATCAGCCGACTGACTGGGACAGCGGGACAGCCGTTTACACGGGGGCGCGCGGGGCCCTGCCGCTGGTGCCGGTTGCTGCGGCGGGGGGGCCGGCACGGCGCTGGGGACGGCCCGGAGACGGAGGGGAAGCTCCTGCTCCTCCGCGCTTTCCTTCAGCAGACACAGCACAGCGCCCTGTCGGTAGCAGCAGATGCCAGATTGCTAATGAATAAATACACTGATCGCATAGGCATGTTTTGACTCGTTTTAACACTAAGCTTCACATTGATAAGTGGAAGAAAATCCTGGAGAGAATTTTACAGTACGGCAGGGTTTTGTGTGGTATTTGTGAAAAATACGTATTTTTTTTAACCCGCGTACAGAGCTGCGCAGCGTTAGCTTGCTGCGGCTGCTGTGTCGGTGCTGTGAGGGCCGCTCATCTGCGCGGGAACGCACAGCCCCTGCGGCGAGGCGCGCCCGCCCGCGCTGAGGGAAACGAACCCGGGCGCTTCCCCGGGCGGCGCCCGTAAAGCGGCGGGCGCCGCTT